AACTTGAAAACGGAGTCCACCCTGACAGCTGCCTTAACTCAACCTCAAGCCACCTACAGACACAATGTAAGTGTGCCCCCTACCAGCTCCAGAGGCTCAGTGCGCACAGATGTGGAAAATGCCCCCCCCCCGCACTGGCACCACTAAGAAACACGACCCACTCACTCGGAAGAGTTGTCGTACTAAGCAAGTACCAGCCAAACATGCCAACTTCGAATTCATTTAGCACTGACTGACTCTTTTTCACGGCTTGACTGATAAGTTGTTTCCAAATTAACTTTGCATGAAGTAGCTGGACGTGGTTGGCCACCTTTTGAAGTTACGGCTTACCTTGTGCCAGGTCAATAAACTGTCTAGCCAGTCCTTGGCCACAGGCCACTGAACTGTGTTCAATCCTCAGCAGATTGTTTGCACTTCCCCCGACAACTCCAAGGCTAGCCTGTCGTAAATCAATCTTGAGCTGGTGGATGTCTGAGATGTGGTGGACTGTAAAAGACATGTCTAAGTCAATGAGTTAGGGTACGGTTGACTGTTCTTGTGCAATAATTCTGTGGACACATGTTTGCTGTGTAGTGCTTGGGGATTTGTCAAAACTGTTCCTACCCAGCATACCTTACGGAGTGACCAATCAGAAGATAAAATATGACCCTTAGGTACCTTAACTGCAACCATCTTAGATCATCCTGGGCTCCTCGCACAGCCAAATTTACAATTAACCTGTGAACATCACCAGCTAATTTTCTCTCGCCCTTTCCCCAGTACCCTCTGCCACCAGCTAAGTGGGGACATCTCTACCCAGCAACAGCAATGACTGCGACAAACCACCTGCATCACTACGTACTACCTAGTGACGTCCCCTCCCCACACTTCCACACCGGCATCAAAGGGCCTTTCCGGTGCTGACACCCCACTGCAAGATGCAACCCCCCTCACGCCACCCAAGAGCACGCTTAATTCCATGCCGCCCCCGTGTGGGTCACTGCCAAAGAGCTCCGATACTGCCGCCGCATCATCACACCAACCGCCATGCCGAAAAATGCCAGGTTTTAGACGAAAATGGTGAAAACCGCCCAGGCTCAAAGCCAACACCTGTGTCCAAGGACTGGCGAGATAATGGAGGACCTCAAAAACACTGTACTTCAGCAGAGTGATGCTATCCCCCAGTACAGGAGA